TGGATAGGCCGACTTAATATAGTAAAGATGGTGATACTTCCAAAACTAATATACAAATTCAATGCAATTCCTATTAAAATCCCAATGACGTACATCACTGAAATACAGAAAACAGTCCAAAAATTTATATGGAACAACAAAAGACCTAGAATAGCCAAAACAATTCTAGGGGATAAAGACAATATGGGAGGGCTATCCATGCCGAACTTCAAACTCTACTACAGAGCTATAATCACAAAGACAGCATGGTACTGGCACAAAAACAGACCCGAAGACCAATGGAACAGAATAGAAGATCCAGATATAAATCCACAGGCCTACAGCCAGCTGATATTCGACAAAGGAGCCAAAGACATACAATGGAAGAAACACAGCCTCTTCAACCGCTGGTGCTGGGAAAACTGGGCAGCCACATGCAGAAAACTAAAAGTGGACCCCAGCCTATCACCATGCACCAACATCAACTCAAAATGGATTAAAGACCTTAACATTAAACCTGAATCTCTGAAACTACTGCAGGACAGAGTAGGAGAGACACTTGAACTAATAGGCACAGGAAGGAACTTCCTGAACAGAGTCCCAGGGTCACAACAAGTTGGAGAGAGACTCGACAAATGGGACTACCTTAAAATAAAAAGCTTCTGCACAGCTAAATCTATCGCAACTAAGCTAGAAAGACAACCAACTAATTGGGAAAAAATATTTACCAGCAATATATCAGACAAGGGGTTAACATCCTGTATATACAGGGAACTCAAGAAACTAATCCCTCCCAAACCTAACAAACCAATTACTAAATGGGCAAGGGAACTAAAGAGGGACTTCTCAAATGAAGAAATAAAAATGGCAAAGAAACACATGAGGAAATGTTCATCATCCCTGGTGGTGAAGGAAATGCAAATAAAGACAACCCTGAGATACCACCTTACCCCAGTCAGAATGTCCCACATCCACAAATCAGCCAACGACAAATGCTGGAGGGGATGTGGAGAAAGAGGAACCCTATTACACTGCTGGTGGGAATGTACACTTATACAACCACTTTGGAAAGCAGTCTGGAGGGTCCTTAGAAAGCTAAAGATTGACCTCCCTTACGACCCAGTCATACCACTTCTAGGCATCTACCCTGAACAACAGGAACCAATATACAAGGACACGTGCACCTCCATGTTTATTGCAGCACTGTTCGCAATAGCTAGGATATGGAAACAACCTAGGTGCCCCACCACAGATGAATGGATCCAAAAATTGTGGTATCTATACACAATGGAATATTATGCAGCCATTAGAAATGACAAAATAATGGCATTTGCAGGGAAATGGATGGAGCTAGAAGGAATCATGTTGAGCGAGGTAAGCCAAGAACGAAGAGACAAACGGTACATGGTCTCCCTCATAAGTGGATGCTAAATCCAAAAGGTTAGGTGATACGACAAAACTAACAGGACTTAAGAAACAAAGAACTCCCGCTCATCTGGTTGAACCACTACTAAATATCTTCATGCTGCTGATCACAAATATGGTATATAACATGTGAACACTGTTATATATTACAGACTGTGGTAGACAATTTGCTCCAGGGAAGTTAGAATGAACATGTGACTTTGAAATTATGTAATCATTTAATCACAATCAAAAAAAAAAGAACCTCGGGGAAGGGAGGGAGGGAGGGGATGGTAGGGGGAAAACAATGGAGGGGGTAACAATGTTCAAGAGGAAGTGTACTCATAACCTCACTCATGTAACTGTAACCCTCTGTATAGTAGCTTTACAATAAAATTAAAAAAAAAAAATTGTGAGAGAAGAAGTTAAAAAAAAAAAAAATAATAATAATTGTTCAAGCCAGGAACCAGTATCTTATGCTTGTAATCCCTAGCTACTCAGAAGGTTGAGATTGGAGGATTGCAGTTCAAAACCAGCCTGGGCAGAAAAGTCTATGAGACTCTTATCTTCAACTAACCACTAGAAAACTGGAAGTGGTGCTGTGGCTCAAGTGGAAGAGTGCTAGTCCCTTGAGCTGAAGAGCTCAGGGACAGCACCCAGGCTCAGAGTTCAAACCCCATCACCCCCCCAATAAAAATTATTGTTCACACTCAGAGAAAAGTATACTCAAGTGGAAATGGCTAAAGAAATTTCAAAAGAAAAATTAGGAAAAGTATGAAAAAGCAAGCAACCACTCCACCTCCAGAACGGGTAGTGGACATCAATAGAAGTCAAAATGTAAGAGCAGTTTTGTAAGAGCAAGGAATCTTTCATTGAGTATTATGAACAGAAGAACTAAAATACGTTCTATTCTTTGATATTTCCTGTTGTATCAGACACATGATATACATCTTTTCAGAAGTAATCTCACTTAACTTCTAGACTCATTTCCTTGATCTGCCTCAGCCTACAAACTACTATGACAAAAGCCCACTTTAGCCAGGCGCCAGTGGCTCATGCCTGTAATCCTAGCAACTCAGGAAGTTAAACTCTGAGGATTGTAATTCAAAGCCATCCCAGGCAGGAAAGTCTGTGAGACTCTTACCTCCAATAAGCCACTAGAAAACCGGAAGTGGCACTGTGGCTCAAGTGGTAGAGCACTTGCCTTGAGCTGAAGAGCTGAGGGACAGCGCCCAAGCCCAGAGTTCAAGTCCTAGGACCGACAAAAAAAAAAAAAAAAAAAAAAGCCACCGAATTTATACAACTCAAACACCTGAGACTAACTACCTGATATTAATTTTGTTTGCCACTTTATACCAGTATCAGAGTAAGATAAAATGCTATAATCAGAGACCAAAAAAAAAGAGACAAGAATAGGATAAAAGAGAACAGCCAGACAAATGATTACTTTTATCTACTACATTGTTTTCAGACCATGGTTTCTCTATGTAGCAACAACCTATAATTCAGTGTACCTGCTATACCTTCATGGCTCATCATGATGTAATGATCAACACAGTAATTCATTTTGTCCTTTCTTGTCTCAGATTCTTGCTCCCTTACTCACTTTGCAATGGAATACAATATCTCAAGTAAATAACCAGTACTACTCCCGCTCTGTTTTTAGAATATCTGAAAACAATTGTTGAATGAATGACTTTAAAAGGATAACATAAAAAAACACTTGCTAAAGAGAATAAAGATGGCACCATGACATTAAAATCCTTAATGACAGAAGTTATCAGCAAAATCAAAATGCTAGAAGATGAAATTATTCTTTTAGTTTCAATCTGAGAAATTTCTCTAGACACACATCTAATAAATAAAGGAAAATCTAGGTTGAGCTAAGAAAGAATTGCTGAGAATAAAGTGTTTCTTCCCATGGCAAGACAGATATTGTCTGAAAATTACTGTATTGCTAAAAGATAAATCCAGTGATTATTTTTTTACAATGATACTTAGTAATTCCGCTTCAGAAAACAAGTTTGATAGCCAAGACACAGAAAAGTAGAGTAGCAGGCTATACTCGGAATGTACCACACCTCTGGCAATGGGTAAAAGCAAAGATAAACTAAACAATGATTCCTTTAAAATATCTGCCATAGCCTGGCACATGTTACTTTCACTCATGCTTTCTACTTCTTATAGTAAGTTACATGGCTAAATACTGTAATGATAATCTCATAAATAAATAAAAAAGTGTAGCATGGTATGTTATGATCAAACGTTCAGCAATGAGCACAGAAATAAAATGTAGAATTAGGACTAAACATTTGTGAACATGCAATTATACAAGAAGCAGTAAGTGCTATAATTTCAAAATACAAAATGAAGTGGACTTATTATAATTAATGTTTTATTTTCCAATACATACCAGGATATCAAAACCAACTAAAAATAATAAAGAATTATAAATAAATAATAAAACGATTATCTTTCGAAGATTATCATATCATCTTTTTAAGTTTTGGAAAGATAGTATTTATTAGTGATTCTTAAAAGAATAGCAATGGTCTAAGATTTTAATTCCTTCAATTTCACATCAGAAAGCCTATTTTTCCATCAAACCTGAAAAAAAAAAAAACCCACAAAGCCTAGTTGTTACTAAAAGAATGTATATATCAGGGCCCTTTAACCTGTAAACTTCTATAAAGATTTTCATAAAAATGGACTAAGAAAAATTAGCCGGGCGTTGGTGGCTCACACCTGTAATCCTAGCTATTCAGGAGGCTGAGACCTGAGGATCGCGGTTCAAAGCCAGCCTGGACAGGAAAGTCTGAGAGACTCTTATCTCCAATAAAAACCACTAGAAAACCGGAAGTGGCACTGTGGCTCACGCAGTAGAGCACTCACCTTTAGCTGAAGAGTGCAGGGACAGCACCCAAGCCCAGCGTTCAAGACCCAGGACCGACCAAAAAAAAATGATATTATTACATTTTTCATAAACTTCTATTTATTTTATTATCTTCAAGTAGTTGTTCAAGGGTGTTTAATTCAACATGTTAGTTTATGCATCTTGATCAATGTTATCATATACTTTTATAAACACTTATTTCATGCTCTTATTTCAATACTACATAGGTAGTACTAATATTTCTCATAACACATAAAAGCACAGTTGTATATTATGTTTACCTTTCAATCAATCCCACCTTATTAGTAGTATTGTAGGAGTAGTAGTAGTAGTAGTAGTAGTATTGCAAAAAGAATATTTCATAAATAAAACTATATAAAACATAAAATAAAAACTCAAAATTCACATTTTTCTCACTTAATACTACTATTACAACACAAGGTCAGAAGCTTAGCAAAGAAACAATATATGAGTTCATTTCCCTTGTTACAAACTAGAAACAAGGGTATTCCTGGACTACATGCAATCAGTCCTGTGGGTCATTAATTCTCCTAGGTTGCGTATTCACATCATAATACTCACAATTTCAGATTTCAATGTGTAAACATATATAACAACAGAAGACAGACAGTTGACATTTATAAATGCTAATAACAAACATAAATGTCATATTGAATAACTAATAACATATTCTAATGTTAAATTAAAAATTGAATATACTTGCCGGACCAGGGTAATATCCATGTCCTTTTGGAGAAGTTCAGTCTGTTTATTATCCAGTTGTAAAGATAGAGCATTATATTTACTCTGTGATACTTCAATTTCTTTCTTCGCTTCAATTAATTCATTTTCAAAAGCCTAAAATTAGAGCATTTATATTACATCAAACATAATACAACTAAATGTAACAAAATGTTTTACATATATATATATATATATATATATATGTTCTAGCAAATGATACAAAAAGTCATACTTTAATTTTTTCACTTAAAAAATTTAGACTGAATTGTGGTGGTATATACCTACACTCCCAGCTACTTGAAAGATAGGCATTCAAAGAATCATGGTTCAAGACCATTCCTATCAAAAAGTTAGTGAGCCTATATCTCAACCAACAAACATTGTGGCATGTGCCCGTGGTTTCAACTATGCAGAAGGCATAGGTAGAAGGATTGCAGTCCAAGGCCAGGCATAAATGCAAGACCCTATGAAAAAAACTAATGAGCAAAAAGGGAGACTGGGGACATGGCTTATGTGGTAGAGCACCTAACACTTGTCAGATTCTGAGTTCAAACCCCAGTTTCACTTTTTAAAAACTTAGCACCAACAGTACCTTATTCAATTTAGAGATTTTGGTTTTTTTGTCAGACACCTAAAAAATCATCATAGCTTACTGAAGCTGAGAATGAGAAGATTGTGGTTTCTGGAAAGAAAAATTCACAAGATCCATTCTCAACCCACTGATGGGCAGTGACATGCTCCTGTAATCCTAGCTTCATGCAAGATTAAGATTTCAGGATTCCAGGCTAATATTGGAATGATTGAGCCCAGTAAAGTACAGATACTATCTTCAAGAGAAGAAACTGGGAGTAGAGATTTGCACCTGTCATCCCATCTACAGTGGTAAGTCTAAAATAGACTAAAATCCTGCTCCTGGGCAGGAAGCAAAACTCTTATTTCAAAAAAAAAAAAACTAGCACAAAGAAAAGGTTGCTCATGTTGTTCAGTTAGAGTGCCTGCATAGCACTGATGTGGGCCTGAATTCTAACTCTAATACTAAAAAGAGAAACTTTAATCAAAAATTTGAAACCAATGAAAATTGTATAGAAATTATTAAACAAAATAAATTATCTAAAAAATTTTTGCCAGTCCTAGGGCTTGAACTCAAGACCTGGGTACTGAGTACTGGGTACTGTCCCTGAGCTCAAGGCTAGTGTTGTACCATTTTAGCCACAACACTACTTCTAGCTTTGTCTGAGTAGTTTATCTAAGATAAAATCTCATGAACTTTTCTGCCCATGATGCTCAGATTTCAGCCTTCTGAATAGCTAGAATTACAGGCGTGAACCACCAGCACTAAATTATATAATTTAAACAGTGTTAATTAAAAGTGAGCATCATAACCCAAAATGTAAAAAGAGATTAAAAACTTTAGGATGAAAAAAACTTTATCATATATAAACAGTAAAAACATTATAAAAGAAAATAAAATTGACACAAATTCACAAAAATTTTAAAATCTCATTAACAAAAATTCACAGAACTGAAAGAGAAAAATCACTGTCTTACTTAGAAAATGAGGATTAGGAAAGACCCAAACATCACACACACAAAAAATACTATATACCTTTGAATAGTGACACTGAACATTATTAGCTTCAGTTTTCCAATTAGAAGACATAGAACGGAGGTTTAGATTTAAATTTTTGGTTGTATTTAAGGGTAACTGGTAAGGGAAAAAATGTACTGCATATGTTGATTGATACATGTCTATAATCCCAGCTACTGAGTGGCATAAGCAGGACTGTAGACGAAAACATGAGACCTTATTTTAAAAAAGGCAAAAGTAAAAAACTAGGGTGTGGCTCAACTGAGTATCTGCTTAGCAAGCAGGAAGCTCAGTCCAAACCAGTACCATAAAAATAAAAATATACAAGTAAATAATAAAACAAGTGTTTTAAAATGTAATTAATTCAATGGCTCAGTCATTCTTAGTGTATGACATCAAGATATTATTTCCTTAAAAAATTCAATGGATTGATTTAAATATTCAGACATATTTCTTCCCTAAATTAAATATTCATGAACATAAGCACACATACAAAAATATCTTGTCAACTATATATTTGTGGATTTTTACATATATAGATTCATCTATTTATTTAAATTAGATATCCTTTTTATGTGCACATTAATAAGACTCACTTTATTTCTGCCCTTTTCAATAAAAATCTATGGCAAAAGAGAAATATTATTTTGATAACATGGTCAAGAACAGAAGTAGGATTATAAGGATGGTAACTTTTTTCCTGTACTAAAATTTGCTGCTAGTTCCCTTTAAGGCAAAAAAAAAGCAGCAATATCATAGACCCATAGAAGAGCATATTTAAGTATTTTTGTAGGGGTTTTTCCACTATATTTTCTAAAAGAACATAGAAAATACTTTTAAAACTATATTACAATGAATCTGAACTACATTTATAACTAAGTCTTAATTTTTAAAAATCTAATACTAAATTCTCAATATTTTTTCAAAATACATTTCAAAATGCAATAGCTTTTATTTTTTAATGATTACATTTTAGGATAACTATTTGAAGTCAGTTTCCTGCTTTGCAACATCAATTTTTAAAAAGCTGTGGGTCTTAAGTGAAAGAATATAAATTAATGCTAGTCCCCACTGGTGGATTTGAATATATAACTTGTTAGTTAAAGAAAATTACATGTATTAAACTCCTGATAAGAAGTTAGATTTAGAATAGCAGCATGAATTCCATTCCCATTGTATACCTTTATTTTTGTATCAATGGTCTGCTTTTCTTTTCTCCAAAGTGCCTCCTGCTTCCTCAGTTTCTCCAGGTCATTTAGCAGGTCAGCGCAGTAGGTACTTAATTTCTCATTTTGCTCCTCCAGATTTTTTATAACCAGTCTGCTTTGCTCCTCTTTATTCTGTACACACTCCTTAGTGTCCTGTAGAACAGTACCACGAGGGCCGATAAACAACCACAAAAAAAAAAGGTGAGAACTAATCAGCAAATATAAACTGTGCAGTTTTACCCTCACAGCAGCCTTCTTCTATATTTGATGGCCAAGGTCACCTGTGTACTTTTATTGGCCTCTTTTCATGCAGGTGGATGGGTCATATTTTTTCACTGGATGACAGCTTTGATGAGTACACATTTGCAAAGAGCCCATTAATTGATCAAGCTGCCTTTGATGCTGTCCCCAGCTATTTTTGAGACCCACACAGACATATCCTCCCAGACCTGGGTTTTATCAATTAATAATGCCAGTCCCATCAGAATCTAATTACAAGAAGCCACTTATTCACACTCCTACTTTCTTAGCTCCATTTCCATCATTAACTATTTATCTGAAAGTTATAAAGCTTGGAGTCTTAGCTTTAAAGCATCTTTATCAGTTTTCCTATGTGAGAAACTGTATGGTACAACAGGGCCTCAGGCAATTTTTCCTCCAAGCCTGTCACTTTCTGTGCCACAAAGGCTGACAAAGCTTAAAGCAGGACATCAAAGCAGTAGTCCTATAAAACTATGTACAAGTCAACACACCTTAACTTCTTGACTTTTATCTTTAAATTTCTTTTGCAAGTCACTGAATTCTTTCCTCAAGAAAGCATTTTCTTCATCGAACACAATCTTCTGTTTTACAAGGTCATTTATTTCCCGTTTTAGTACTGATTCTCTCTGTGAAAAAAGTTAGATTTCTGGTAATCTGGTATATCTAAGAAAAATTATAAGCTTTAGTTTTTAATTGTCATCATTAGGATTAGTTTTCATAATAAAGTTATGATCGCAATTCTCATTTCCTGTGACACATTCAGAGATTTTCATCAAAAAAATGTGCAAGTACAATACTTATCAGTTTAAGATGAAGCACACATATGCTGAACACTAAGTATTAAGCCATACTCTAAAACTTTCAGAATTTATGTGTGAAACAAAAGAAAATGTTACTAAACATTATAATAATGAAAACATATATGTAGCTAAATAATTACTTATTTTCTTATTTAAATTTTATTTGGCTTAGCATCATCTTATATAGTCATACATAGATAGTTATTAAGCTACTTTGTTCATCTGCTAGGACTATCCTAGACATATACTAATAATTACAAGTTAGAGAAAATAGGGGATCTATGTTTCTTCTGATCTGGCTTGCATCATTTAATATTATTTTTTCCAAGTCTTTCCATTTCCTTATGAATGGGATGATGCCACTCTTTCTGATGGAAGCATAGAATTCCATGGTGTATATATACATTTTTTAACCCATTCATCTACTGAGGGTCATTGGATTTGGTTCCATATCTTAGCTATGGTAAATAATACTGCAATAAACATGGTTCTGCTGGTAGCTTTAGTATGGCCTTGTTTGTGATCATTTTGGTAAACCCCCAGAAGTGGGAGTGCTGGGTCATAAGGGAGCTCTATGTTTAGTCTTTTGAGGAATTTCCACACTTCTTTCCAAAGTGGTTGAACAAGATGTAGAAACAAGAAGTTTTTCTTTGTTGTTGTTGTTTTAATGTACTATGTGGTTTCTTTTTTCTTTTGTGTTTCCTTTTCCCTGTGATTTATCCTCTGTTTTCATTGTATTTGATTTTGCTACCCTGGGTATTGTATATATGTTTATCTAAATTAGGGAAGGGAAGGGGAACAACAAAATGGTGAGACAAAGGACAAAGGACAAACCAATGCAACAGCAATACTCACAAGACACTATATTAGAAATGAACTGTGCAACTTGTGGTTGGGGAGAGGGAAAGTGGGAGAAAAATGAGGGAGGGGTAACAAGTTCAACAACAAATGTACTCACATATGTACTTACATATGTAACTGTAACCCCTCTGTACATCACCTTGTTAATAAAATTAAATTTAAAAAGAAAGAAAATAAGGAATAAAAAATAAAAATAAAAACAAATCTTTTTCAGAAAACCTTTTTTTAGAAAAACTATATAAACAAGGTGTGGTAGCTCAAGCCTTTAATCCCACCTATTCAGAAGGAGATCAGGAGAATTTGGTCTAAGGTGAGCCAAAGTAAAAATTTATTGAGGCCCTATCTCAACAAAAACGCCTGGCATGGTAGTAAACACCTAGCATCATCTCTACCACTTGGGAGGTTTAAGTAAGAGGCATATTCCAAACCAGCCAGGGCAGAAAAAAAAGTCCATACCTGAAAAATAACCAAAGCTGAAGTGGCAGAGTATCTACCTAGCAAATATGAAAAACAATCCTGGTTTCATGAAGGCATAAATCATTTCAAACATTAAAAATGAAAAATTCAGAAGCTGGGCTCTAGTGGTTCATGCCTGCAATCCTAGCTACTTAGGAGACTGAGATCTGAAGATCAGCATTCGATGCCAGCTTTGGAAGACTCATTTCCAATTAATCACTAAAAGGCCAGAAATAGAGTCGTGGATCAAGTGGTAGAGTGCTAGCTTTAAGCAAATAGCTTAACGACAACGCCAAGTCCTTGAGTTCAAGCCCCAAGACTAGCACAAAAATAAATAAATAAATAAATTCTGGGTTCTAAAAATACCTTGCTCTGTAGATAGAATATTAAAACTGTCACAATTTTTAGGAATTCTTACTATGCAGACATAGCTAAATAACTAAAGCCTCAATCATTAGCTTCTCTCTTTTCTATTTATAGAAAACTTACCTCTTCTCTTGTAGTCTTACCTCTGTGGGAAAGACTATCCAATTAATAATTCAGTACTATCACTAATCTCACATTTGTAAATTTATGTAGGATACCTCTATTTGGACTGTCTGCTGCTACTTCAACTTAACATGCTACAACCAAAATCTATATTCTTTTTTAGAAATTTTTATATTATTGTAAAGATGCTGCAAAAAGGTGCTCCAGTTACATGAATAAAGTAATGAGTACATTTCTTGTTGAGTATTGTTATCATAATACTTTCTTTGTTAATCCTTTCATTCTTTCAATTAACACTGTCTGGCTTACTACACTTTTTGAAACCTCCACATCAGACTCAACACAGCCATCTCTGTCTGCCAACCAAAAAGCACACACAGCAAGATAGACATCTTGTGTTGTTGGAGACTGTTCATTCCTCTCTGGACTAGCACTGATGTTCAGATCCTTAATAACAATTTATTTTTTTGGCGGCAGGGGTTGGGGGCATGGGAGAGAGGAGGGAAGGAGATGCCCTAGTGCTTGAACTCAGGGCCTGGGCATACTGGTTCTGAGCTTTTTTTTATTCAAGGCCCGCACTCTACCATTTGAACCACAGCTCTACTTGTGGTATTTCTGGAAAGATAAGAGTCTCATGGACTTTCCTGTCCAGGCTGGCTTCGAATCAAGATCGTCAGATTTCAACTTCTTGCACAGCTAGGATTATAGGCATAAGCTTCTGATACTCAGCTAATTTATTTTTGTATGTACATATTTATCTTTTATGGAAGATCTTAAGGAAGATGTGAAAATGAGTTACGATCCAAGAACAGAATGAAACATAGTTTGTTTAATGAACAAGGTAAAGTTAAATGTTTAGTATATACTTGATATATGCAAAAAAATGTCTAGAAAATGGATAAAGAATAAAGAAAAAGGTACACACACCAGTATCCAACTCAGAAACATAACTGCTATAATCTTTATAATTACTTATATGTTCCCTTATTCTCTTATATCGCCTAACCCCTATAAGAGGCAACAATTTTCTTGAAGTCGGATCATATTTTCCTCTTCTTTATATTGTAAAGCCATGTATACCCTTATTTTTAACTTAATATAAATTAAATATACTATACATATTTTGTATTTCCCTTTTTAACATAGCTTCCCAAATTGATCCATATTGATGAAAAATTTGTGGTTTAATAACTTTGGTGTTTAATATATATATCTATATGTATAATATATTTACCTGTCTTCTGTTAGTATATATTTCAATGGTTTTTCATTTGAGGAAAACAGGTTTAAAAACAATGCAGCTATGAACAATTGGGAGTACGGATACCTAGTAGCAAAAATTTCTCTCAAGTAGTTTTTTTAACTATAGACTGCAATACAGAAATGGATCATACAATCAGTTTTGTAATCTAATCAGCCTTTAAAGAATAAAATACAGCTATGCACAATGACTCAAGTCTGTAATCCTAACTAATTGGGAGGTAGAGATTGGGACAGAGTGATTCAAAGAGAGCTCTGGAAAAAATGAGGTCCAAGAGACTCCGTATCAATCAGTGACAGCACCATGGTATTAGCCTATAATCCTTATGGTAAGAAAAAGACAATGACTAGGCCCATCAATGTGTTCCTTTCATCCTCAGAGTCTTAGAAGTAGGAAAATCACACTCCCAAAACACAATGGGACTCTACCTTGAAAATAACCAATGCAAAAGGAGGCTGGGAGAATGGTTCCAGTGCCAATCTAGCAAGTTCCAGTCCTGAGTTCTATTTCCATTAGCACCAAATAAACAATAGAAAATATCAAAATTATATATAAATTCTTAGCAAGAGAAAACAGAAGAATAAACTTTAAAAGCAAAAGACATATTAGATAGATTAAAATATTTCCTAAGTTCTTGTGTGTTTAATTTGGAATTTTAATTTCATTTAAATATTTTGAAATTCACATTTTAATTAAGCCTTCTTGTATGTTTAACTTTATTGTATGTAGTAAAGATATGTTATTTCAAATATTCATATAGTGTTTATATACAGGATCATGAAATAAAACGCATTTCACTAGGTTATAATATTCAAGAGAAACTGCTAAGTCATAGGCTATATTCAAAAGTTCCCAACACACCATTCTCCCCACCAACACTTATGACTCAGGCTCAGGAATTTTCTTTACAAATAAAGTGAGAATAGTTTTATTTTTTATTTCCAATTTTAATTATTAGGTCACATCAAAATGTGTCTGACATCAACTAAACAACATAAAAATAGATACATAAAAATGGTCCAAAAATAATTTACAATCCAACCATAATTCATAGTCTATTTTTCTACTTGTCATCTAAATCTTCATCTTCAAAACTTAAATACTAAGCAGTTTGTAGTACACACCTATAATTCCAGCACTCAGAATGCTGAGCCAAAAAGATCAATAATCTAGGCCAGTCTGGAATAAAATTTAGTTCCAGGCCAGCCTGAACTATATAGCAAGAGTTTGTCTTAAAAAAATAAAATAAAATAACAAAGAAATAAAGAAAAGAAGAAAAAACTCAACTGCTAAAACAAAGAATATTCAACTCCTAGCTCTTCAATCCTGCATGAAAAATCTCCTCTGCTGTTCCAGAATTTTGTAATAGTTGCCATTTCTAAATTTCTATATTGCTTATATTATTCATTTGTACATAATACCTAGTTTTTCCAATTAACTCTCTACATACTCTTCCAAACTACTTATCTACAGATGAGATTGTTGCTGAGTGATGAATTCAAACATAATAAATACTAAGACCCTTTCAAAAACATCCATAGGCATATCCTTCCAGTAAAGAAACAGTAAGTATAAATAACTATCATCTTCTTGAATTTATTTAGACTGTAGAAAAAAAGTGGACATTAACCAACTTACTAAGCTTAAAATGGTATTCCTATTAAAAAGGAACTCTAATAGACATTAACCCTAAAAGGTAACTTATACCTGGCAAGTTAGTGCATGAGATCATTTAATAATGTAAAGTTCTGCACTTGAA